ATTATTATTATTATTATTATTATTATTATTATTATAAGTGTTAAAAACGACGTAAGCCACCGTAACAACGTAGTTCGAAATATTTTTAAGCAATAAATCTTTTTCAGTTATTCACGAAATATTAACAAAATATCTCTTCAATTTGCAAAAAGAAAAATTAATCCAACAGATGTTCCAGAATAAATTCCGAAAAATTCATTATCTTCCAACAGCGCAAAAGCAGTTCGTTTCAAGAAATGAGAATTGCCGTTCGGTGTTGTTTCTAGCGTTGGACTGGGGAAAGCGTTTTAAAAGCTCCTGTTCCGTTTGGGAAACGCTGGGAAACCGCATGATAACGAAAGCACGCGAAACGTTGCCTATCTACCATGGATCTACAAGCCGTTCGACAGAGCGCGGCGAAAGCGTCGACCAAGAGAAATGAACTAAAGGCAATTTGTGTTCTAGTCGTTTCGACTCGCACCTCTGATATCCGTGGTTGGTTCGCTTCGAGAGATCTCGTGCTCGTTGCTCCGATACGGCGGCGTCTTCAGAGGACTTTTGCAGTGTCCAAGCCCATCGGCCCTTCCGTTCGTCGTCGGATTCTGATGCGGGAAGTGGAAGGTCGTCGTGTGAGGCCACGTAGCCGGAGGTGGGCTGCGGACCAGGTGCTCGTGCACTTGTGCGAGCGTCAGCGGATCGGTATCACCCAATTCCTGAACACACCGGGAACCGGTCGACAAATTAATTGAAAGGCGCAGCCTCGGTCTCCCAACGTGAATCGCGTTTTCCACGATGTGCTGGTTTTTAAAATCGAATTTATCGTAAAATACGATATACAATCGTGGACAAACATATGAGCCGTTTATTTTGAGAGTGGCATAAGTCACTTTACCGTAATGAAAAGTGGTGAGTTTTTATTGTTTATACGAAATTATTATTATTATTATTATATATGTTATATATATATATAATAATATAATATATAATATAATAATATAATAATATAATATAATATATAATAATATAATATATATATATATAACATATATAATAATAATAATAATAATTTCGTATAAACATTAAAAACTCACCACTTTTCATTACGGTAAAGTGACTTATGCCACTCTCAAAATAAACGGCTCATATGTTTGTCCACGATTGTATATCGTATTTTACGATAAATTCGATTTTAAAAACCAGCACATCGTGGAAAACGCGATTCACGTTGGGAGACCGAGGCTGCGCCTTTCAATTAATTTGTCGACCGGTTCCCGGTGTGTTCAGGAATTGGGTGATACCGATCCGCTGACGCTCGCACAAGTGCACGAGCACCTGGTCCGCAGCCCACCTCCGGCTACGTGGCCTCACACGACGACCTTCCACTTCCCGCATCAGAATCCGACGACGAACGGAAGGGCCGATGGGCTTGGACACTGCAAAAGTCCTCTGAAGACGCCGCCGTATCGGAGCAACGAGCACGAGATCTCTCGAAGCGAACCAACCACGGATATCAGAGGTGCGAGTCGAAACGACTAGAACACAAATTGCCTTTAGTTCATTTCTCTTGGTCGACGCTTTCGCCGCGCTCTGTCGAACGGCTTGTAGATCCATGGTAGATAGGCAACGTTTCGCGTGCTTTCGTTATCATGCGGTTTCCCAGCGTTTCCCAAACGGAACAGGAGCTTTTAAAACGCTTTCCCCAGTCCAACGCTAGAAACAACACCGAACGGCAATTCTCATTTCTTGAAACGAACTGCTTTTGCGCTGTTGGAAGATAATGAATTTTTCGGAATTTATTCTGGAACATCTGTTGGATTAATTTTTCTTTTTGCAAATTGAAGAGATATTTTGTTAATATTTCGTGAATAACTGAAAAAGATTTATTGCTTAAAAATATTTCGAACTACGTTGTTACGGTGGCTTACGTCGTTTTTAACACTTATAATACTTATAATAATAATAATAATAATAATAATAATAATAATAATAACAATAATCTTTAACACTTAATAACTGCCGCGTTATTAATGATTTACTCAGATTTGATTTCCTAATTTTATTAGGATCTGCGAAACGCAAGAGTGTTGACAAAGTAATTTTAATTTTATTCAATAAGAAATTCTTATTTTATTCAATTTTTTAGATTACTTGCGCGGCAGTCAAAGTGTTAAGGAAGAGGCCGATATAAGTTTTCGAATGTCAATGAATTTTTGGAAATTTATTTTTGGCGATCTATTTAATCAAACTCTTTGAATTTTTGTGGATATTTTACTATGTCATTAAAGCAACTGAACGAATTTGTTTTAAGTTAAAATAACTAGAAAATACGTTGTTTTAATGATTTATGTCCAGCCTTTCCTTAATGAATTTTTGGGAATTTATTCTTGACATTCATTTAACTTCTCCGAAATTTTTCAGATTAAAAAGAGCTATGAATAACATTCCTGCATTGGCTGATGTCCATTATTAAAAAAGTAGTTTCACGCCGTGCAATGTAGCACCTGTATTTATCGCTATATTTTCAGTATTTTAATCGAATAATTGTGTTAGATCTTTTTTTCACTTCTTATATGTAGACTTGTGTTAGTAGTTTCCAAACATACAGGGTGTCCCAAAATTATGTTTCTTCCAAAAAATGAGGGGTTCCTGAGATCATTTGAAGCAACTTTTTCCTTAGCGAAAATGCAATCCGCAGCTTTGTTTACGAGTTATTAACGAAAAACGCTGACCAATGAGAGACGAGCTCGCCCAGCGCTAGGCGGCCGAGCCAATGAGCAGAACTGAGGTTCGTCCACTCGTCGGTTCGGCCGTCTCGCGCCAGCCTCTCATTGGTCAGTGTTTTTCGTTAATAACTCGTAAACGAAGCCGCGGATTGCATTTTCGCTAAGGAAAAAGTTGCTTGAAATAACCTCGGGAACCCCTTATTTCTCGGGAGAACCATAATCTTGGGATACCCTGTATATTCTACAAAGGCTTGTATTGTCCTTCTGGGATCGTAGTTTTGGGAAACGCTGCGTTATGCTATTTAGGCGAGCTCTCTTAGTGCCTGTTCCTTGGGCTCTGACGTGCTAAATCAAAATTAGTTTGATAACAATCGATTGTTTCACTCCGTCCGATGATGTATAATCGCGCTGCAGCGTTCAGAGGTCTCGTCTCGCAGAATTGTCGCAGAATTGTCGCAAATTAACTCTGTCACGATCAGCAGGTCAGCACTGTGCTTTGGCGCAGTGCTGAGGAACAGGAAACACACGTATATCAGTACAGTCTATTACAATTGTGAAATATATAGTCGTTCTTTTCTCGCTCTAATTGCGGATCGTTTTTTGAACGTTGGACCAATAATCCAATTGGATTATTGCGGACATTGTTTCGATAACATGCGTGAACAATGCAAAAGTACTATTAGACGTACTCGGTAAGCGACTATTTATTTCCTGTTTCTGGCCACGTAATTCTAATGTTTACGATTGTACGATTATTTAAATACGTGACTATTTTCTTTTTTTATATTTACTCATTGTACATTTAACGAATTTACATAATTAATCTGCAGTTTATAGAATTAGATGGTAATATTTTGATAGCTTTTCGAAGTTTCGTTTCGATCGAAGTAACAGCACGATTAGGTCGATGAAGACTGTAGCATGATCACCACGAATGCAAAACGAAGATTCTCATTCTTAATCGCATTTATAAACGAATATCACGATATATTTGTACTAATAGTTGTAGGCCATAGGCGAATAGAATTTACTCAATCTGAAATGAATTTTTCATTCAAGTGATGGTTTCCAACGGTTGTTTTTGGAGACGTGTATGAGGGTACATAATAAGGTTTAACTATTTCGACACATTATAGTGTTAATGAAATGTTAACAATTATTTAATAAAATTGTTCATTAACATATTGTTTCTCATCCAGCGTAGAAAAGAACTCTTTCTTTCCACTGTTTCTCGGCAGTTCCTTTGTTGCAGACTAAAACTGCACAGTTCTCGAGACTTGACCTCCGGAATCGTCTCGATCGTTGCTTCTTCTTCAATTTCCAACAATTCTTCAATTTCATTTTCGGTTCTCCATTTTCTTCCTTTAATTCTACCCTAATTTACGTCTCGTTTCCATTGTGCACACGTCACGTATACCATATCGCATGTCGGAATTAATAAGTTAATTGATAAGTTAATCGGTGTTTACTATCCGACGATACATTTGTTGACGAATCGAAAAACTGGAACGAAATGTTTCTACAGAGAGTTTACGGTCAAATCGGCTTTGAGAATCCACGTAATCGCGCGTTCGCGCGCTCACAGCAAGTAGAAACGGTAAGTAATGGTCAGACGGCCAACTTCGATCTCGCTACTGTCTGAAATTCGTTGAAAAAGAAACTGTTCTTTATTTATGAATTATTGTCCCGCGTGTTATATTTAATTCGTCGTACTCTAATTAGCGCATTTCTCGCTGTTTCGTATATTAGTTTTATAAACGATGAAATCAATTTGTAGCTGTAATCTTTTGCGATAATTATTATCATCGAAAAATGAACAATACCGCAGATATCGAGCTACGTGAATTTTTAATTATTGTAGAAACATGCGAGCGTTTAATTATTAGATAAGTGCCTGTAGTTTGAACTCGAGAAAGCTGTATTTATTAGAAACTCACCTTTAAAAAATCGTAACAAACTCAATAATCGAAATACCCATGAAATCTGCCATATTGTGGAATCTACAACATTTTCTCCAAATTTTATCAAGATCTAACATCTAAACATACAGATTTACTATTCCGAAAATACTGTTATACAATGTCTCTAATTCGTTGAAAAAGAAACTTCTTTATTTATAAATTATCGTCTCGCGTGTTATATTTAATTCGTCGTACAAATTAGTGCATTTCTCACTATTTCGCATTAGTTTTATAAATTACCAAGTAAAAATTATCAATTTTTAACTGCGATCTTATGCGAGAATTATTATCACCGGAAAATGAACAATTCCGCAGATATCGAGCTACGTGAATTTTCAATTGTTGCAGACACATGCGAGCGTTTAATTATTAGAGAAATGCCAGTAGTTTGAACTCGAGAAAGCTGTCTTTATTAGAAACTGAACTTTAAGAAATCGTAAAAAACTCAATAATCGAGATTCCGACATTCGATAATCGAGATACCACGTTATAGAATCTGCAACGTTTTCTCCAAATTTTACCGAAATCGAACATCTTAACATAAAGATCTATTGTTCCAAAAAATACTGATACAAAACGTCTTTAAAAAATTTACATTTTAGACACTCAACCCTTTGCACTCGAGTGGTGACTCTGAGGCACCGCTCAAAATTGTTACATCACGTTCTAAAATCATTTTTACATCATCGAAGTTTAGATTTCAAACATTATTAAAACTGTGCAGCTGTTACATAAATCACGAGACACGGTTTCGCGTGCATAAAATGCACTTTGTCGTATGAAAATGGAAATACTACGAGTCAGAAAAATGATTTTAGACTTACAGTTAAAACGACTTCGAGCGCAACGGGTTAAAATTTCGGAGAAAGCCGAATCGAAAGATTCTGGCCGCCTTGATGAAGTCTATCGAAATTCGAAGCATCCCAGCATCGATGGCCGTTCTTCGGGCCGCGTAACGAGTCGCGGAACATTTCGCGTATGCAGGGCCGCGGGGACAACGCGATCGCCGACTCGAATTGCATACAAATAATCGCGTGCATTGTTCGGAGGACCGTGGATCCGCGTGTAGCGAACGATCGCGCAAATAGGCTTAATCGTGAGCCCCATTTCCATAGAAATCGGCCGGCCCGGTTGAATAGAGAGCGGCGCGCGCGGCTTTCGAACACTCGACCGCGAAAATCCGCGGGAACCCGGCCGTCGAAAGGGAGCATGGAAATCGACTCGTGACACAGACACACTTCGGGACATTAGCGAATTCATATATTCGTTCGGGACACTTATTGCCGACCTTGATGCCGTGCTTATAGACGCGAACGATCGATTTGCCCCCGTATTTTTAACTCCGCATAAATTAATGGGCCGGCCGCTGACGATGGGCGTGCCTTGACTTTATCCGCCGCTTTTGTAACATTCGATCGACTGGCTAGCCGGTCTACTGTTCGCTGATTAAATCGATAAAATTCCATCGTTTTCGAAATATGATCGTAGCGCGACTCGGCGCGTCGTGCCGGGTCGTTCGTTGATCCTCCGGTGTCCGCCATTTTCACCGCCTCGGATACCTAAATACGTTCGCAATCGTGTTAATCGGTTTGGCTCGTCCGAAGATTAATTGAAGTATTTTATGAGCTAATTTATAATAATCTATTTACTATATTCTTTAGTTTCACATTGCAATGTTTCAATGGACGTGTCGCAATAAATTCTCCCTAATTGACGCTCAGTTTGGAAACAGAAATGGCGGAGAATTTCCTTTCCCAAAAATTTTGGAAGAGGAGATACGATTATTCGAACGTCGCGGCTCGTTTTTATAATTACCGATTGTCAAAAACTATAAGAACGGGCCGCAATCGATTCTCCTCTTCCTAAATTGTCCATTTTTGCCTCCAAGCTGAGCGCCAATTAGGGAGAATTTACTGTAATTAGTTTCCTCGATGGAGACCGATCTAATTATTTTCTCAGCTAATTAGTGATCTTTGCTTTTTTGTAGTGTTCCATTTGATGCAACGATGCAATCGTGCATTGTTCGGTCATCGTCGTTTCGTTTCGCCTAAGACCGCATATTTTATTTGTTAATACGTGTAGACATTGTTTAATCAAGAGTACAGTGGAACTACAGCTGAAAATATTATTATAATTAAAGTTGTTAACTGTACCGTTAACATTTTTTATTTAAAAATTTTTGAACCATAATTCGTCATCTACTCCAGTAAAGTATATTCGTTGTTTCTCAATAACAACAACATAAACAAATTTCGTTGTTACGACGATTACGCGAAGTTCTTGGAGACTTGAATAAATCATCGCGCCAGTACAAATTACTACTAAATCATTCCTATTTGATTTTAATTGGTCACGCATATGTTCGTGGCAACGAATCATCTAGCCCAGTTAATTGATTAAAAAATACGCCACACAGGATACTTCTTTCCTCTTGTCCGTTTCGAATAAAACCAGGACTAGAAAGAGAAATCGTAGTTTCGCGCAGAATCCGAGACACGTTCTAATCGATTGTTTGAATAAAAAAAAAAGAAAAACGCTCGCGGCTGTGTCCGCAAATTTTCTTTCAATTTGTCTCCGAGGTTGATCACCGGCGCGAGAGATTTAATCGACGTCGGCATGTCGCATTGCGCGACATTTTATATCGTTCTCACGGGGCTCACGTGCACATGAAATATCCTGCTTTCCTTCTTTTTCTTTTTTCTCTCATCACGTGGCACGGTAAGTTGTGCCGCCGCGTTTCAACAGCCGGGAAAATTAAGTGGTGTTTCGAGAGCGAAATTAGCTCGTACATACTTGATACGTCGCGGCCGTTGAAATATTCGCTAATGGGGGATTACTCTTGATAAAACACGCCGCTTTCGGCTCCGCGCCTACGGGGAATTGAAATATTCACTTGTCGTTGGGCCTGCTTAACATTTCAGATCTAAAAATCCCCGTTCCGTTCGGCCTCCCCGTGAATCGCGACCGATCGGACAAATCAACGCCGATCCTGGCCTGTTCGTCCACCGAGAAAGTACGCGATGACGTGATCGAACGTGCGACAATTCATCGTGCCCGTGAGAATGATTCGACGCGTCGACGCTTGAAACGAATCGGGAGAATTTATGGAACGTTTATCGCTTAAGTTCGGTCTTTCCAGCGTTCGATTAAAAGCGCCTATCTCGCCGCGAATGTCCTTCGCAACAATGGAACTGCTCCAGTAGACGCAGCCTGTGCGCCTCTGCGAAACGGTGCAACACGCGATACTACTATTTCACGCCGCTAAACGGAGAATCAATAACTATACGTGTATCCCTTATCTTGCGAAACAATTGATTTCTGAAAAAAAAAATGGAGGCACTTTATCGACCACCCAGATAATGATGCCATATGCACTGGTATTGTGTGTCTACAGGGTGTCTCGACAAAAGCATTGCCTTCTCGCGAACGCACGTTCAGCTTCTTTCTTACAGTTACAACGTTCGACGACAGTTCGTTCGTTTCTCGTTACACCGGTATCACGATTTACGAAATTGATCCAATAATAGTTTAATAATTTTCTTAATAATTTTTTCAACGATGTCCATTGGAAGCCAAGGTCCACAATCTGCCGATAAAGATGATTGAATAAGATAATAATCCATTGTAAAGATAAAGAAACTGCTAAAATAAGAATTCGCGTAACGCACACTCATGCTACAATAAGTAGAAGCGGCTGACGATGATCGGACGGTCAGCTTCACTTCGACGGGCTCCATTTAATTTCTTGTTTCCAATCAAAATGTGTACAGTGGCCCGCAAAAGCGTTCGTACACCTTTGTAAACGCAGTAACTATTTTAAGACTGAACTAAATGATTTGAATGTTTTTTTAGATGGGGGGACTAGTCTACTAGACGATGACCGAAATGCTTTTTTCTTTAATTTCGTTATTACTTGAAACGACAAAAGGAAATAAAATCTTTTTTTTTTAAACATCTTTATCTGAGCTTGCAACGAAGATTTAAAAAACGTTTTTCGTAGATCTCGGTAATTTACGTGCATGTTGAAAATTGTATCGAAATCGGTTCACGTTGTTACGAGTTGCAACAAATTAAAGATCTCAAAAATCGCAGTTTTATCACGACTTTGACCCCAGAAACTGTAAGAAATCCGCAGTTTTTCAAGTCCTTCAACGCCTGTAGCTCTATTCTGGATTAACCGTTTTCGATCAAATTTTCAACACGCATAGATTACCGAGATCTGCAAAAGGCATTTTTTAAATGAACATTGTAGGCTCAGATAAAAAAGTTAAAACACGAGGGTTTTTCATTTTTTCTTTTCATTTCAAGTAATGGCAAAATTAAGAAAAAGCTTTTCAGCCAACATCTAGTAGACCAGTCCTCCTGTCGTCTAGAAAAAAATCAAATCATTTAGTTCAGTTTTCAAAAAATAATCACGTTTTAAAACACTTCTGCGAGCCACTGTAAAAGAAAATTGTTACTTAAAATTCCAATTGTACGCGACGAAAAGCGCCCACGCGGCGCCTGCCGCACGAAGGCCAACAGCTTCGGTAATTTCTCGAATTAAAGAATGTCCTTTTATTTACATATTCCTGGAGCATCGTAGAAAGCGACGAACGACAAAAGATCGACTGCTTCGGAGTCCTCCGCTTCAAAAAAATAAGTTTTCCTCGCGGAGTCACGATCGTAGGAGGAAAGAATCCGAGTTGCTCCCATGGGGTTTTGCGAGGAGCCGTGGATTCGAGGGGCAGCATTGTCCCCCGCGGGTAGACACAATGCCGCTGACGAGGACGTCCCGTCCTTATTGTAATTTTTTCAGATCGGCACTCGCACACGTTCTCGCTGCTGCACCCGACGCCGATCCGCTCGCTGTCCGACGTGCGTCGACTGCACCGATCGGCGGACGACAGCGTGCAGCTGATGTCGAACGAGTAACAAGCCCGACGGTTCCGGTCTGCGGCCGGGCTGACGATGGTTTCTCGCGTTCAGAACAAAGGGGGCTCGTGCTTTGTCGGCGCGACCAGTTTCTGAGGAACGTGTCCGCCCCAAGAGGACACTCGAACGCTCCTCGACGAGCATCGCGCGATACAGGTCCGTCGAATCGATTCCTCGAGCCTGCCAGTCTCGAGAGCAAGAAATCCGTCTGCTGCCATGTGGGACACGCGCGCGGGTCGGCCCTTCGTCGAACAGGTTCGCGTGTACATAGCGCGACCATAATCCACGGCTGTACCGATAAATAATCCGCCGTGCTCTTTGGAAACCAGCCACGCCGCGCGATCTCGATCTCAGAGTCTCCGACGATCCGCGCTTCACGGTTCCAGCTCGAAATTGCCTGTAAACGGAAGCGTGCGGGAAATCAGGAGACCGGTTTCGCCGAATCTTTGCCCGTTCTTTGAGGGGGAAACGGAGCTCGCACGGATCTGTAGCAAAAGTCAGCTCCGAATCGCCGAAGAATCAACCGACGAACTCCGCCCGAATCCTTGTAGAATTTCGTTCGAACGCGATCGATTTAGCGTGGAACGATTCGACGAACGTGGCGGTATTATTTATCGATGCGCTTAAATACCGTCGTTGTGTTAGATCGGTGAGAGGCGGACGCATCGAGAGTTTGCAAGCGATATATCTCTTTGTATTGTTCGGGCGGACAAGTCTCGCGAGTTCGCTCGCGTCCGGAGAATACCGTGGCAGAAGAGCGTCGATCATGGGATATGTTTCAGACGATTTTTGTTCGGCGTGGTGCGCGCGGACGGTGGATCACTGTGAGCATAGTCAATACGGAAGAGGGTAACCTTGCCTCTCGCGTGGAAAGGTCTCAACGAGGCTTATTCATCGAAGCACAAAATTAGCGACGATATTTTATCGTTTGACGAATTTCATTCATTGAATCTCTACTATTTGTGTAAGCAACATCACGTATCGATTCGTACACTGGTTGCCGCTTTTTCTGCACACGCATCGTAGATCCGGTTGTTCAACCGGCGGGTACCAAAATGGCCGCCGTTCGGGCGGCGCGGAGTCACGTTTGCGACCGTTCATCGATTTCCGTTCATCGATCCGACGATTCTTTGTGAAATCGAGTTTATATACTGCCGCGGTATGTAAATATTCTTGTGCGCGACGTTTCCACGTATTCGGACGAATTCGTAATCGATGAAAATCATTGGAAAATTCGCACGCTCGGAACGAATGGAACGCGCGGAATCCATCTTTGTCGCCTCGATAGCCGACGGTTCTTCGTTTCGCGACGATTAATGAGTAACGCGCGTAGATTTGTTGCTTCGCGGTGTCCCGAGCATCGTGTGCGAAGCGTGTACGGCATCGTTCGTTTACGTTCGTCCGTCGACGAACGAAAGATAATTTCGTCGACGGCGGATTTTGTGCCATCGCAGCGTCCAAGAGCTGTCCGTGACCCGGTATTGTTGAAAGCTCGATTATACATATGCTTTAACCGGCTCGCCGCATTTGCATAAATATCCGCGATCGGGTGATTCGTTAAGTTTGTTTGGCGTGAGTTTGTACGATTCGCGAGACGCGCCTGACACGGTTTGCCAACCGAGCCTATCTCATTCGGATAAGTGCGCGACGCAATAATAATCACCGTGCAGGCGGCCCACAGGCCTACGTTCGATCGATGACGAATTTATCTTTATTGTCAATCGGATCGGAGGGTATATACGACGACGATTCTCTCTATACATCTGGATTCCCCGTCGAGTAATTAGGGGAAAATCATGGCCGCGTGTTATCAGTCAATTCAGTGAAATACAAATAAGCGTGTTTGTTTTTTAACGAGGCCGGCTCACGAAGGCGCAGTCGAGTGCTGCGTACAATTCTTGCAATAATTACACCAACCGGCGAACGGCCCGGCGTTTTCGATTCGTTACGGAACAGCTGGATAAAATTGTCTCTCCGCGTTGCGACCGTTTCAACTTCTCGTTTTCGCGGCTCGCTCGCCTTTTTTTCGTTCTTCCCCCCGGCAACCGCGACCAAGAACGTCGGAATTTCACGCGTTCGCAATCTTCGTGGATTAAATACGATTTACTCCGACCATAAGCTCGTGAATCGACGCTTCGACTACTCTATTACAATGATCCGCGCGACGAAAAGATTAATTAACGCGACTCGCGCTGCCGCGGAGCATTTTTAACGATGTTCGGCGGAACGAAGAATGCTTTCTTGACACGCGTCGACCGCGTTTAACGATCAACCGTGTCGCGATGATCTCGCGGAACAATTTCGGACGGTCAATGTGTGACGAACAATTGAGTGTCCCGCGCATGAATTAGGAGAATACGTCACACCGATGAACTGTACGCGTCGTGAAACAGAGAATGTCTCTACCAGACGTATTTTTAACAATTTCCCTACCGTTCGTTCGAATCATTAATTTTCTAAAAGCAACAACAACCACTTTGTACCTTCGCTTGGTGAAATCCGACGCAAAACGCAGTCCTAGCACCAAGTCGATCATCCCTTTCGTCGCGCGAAAATTAACGGGGGTTGTTGTTATCGTTGTTATCGAGCATCCAATTTTAAACGTCGCATGATCGTCCGACGACGGGGTTCGTTCCAATTCCTCTCTCTCACAACGATTCCGGCTATCGATCTTTCCCCGAATGCAATCGTTACACTGCGGATCTTTCTGCGCTTACCACGCGAAACCTTCGTGTCAACGAACGACAAATTATTTCCCGTTCGAATCCCCGCGAAATCCGTGTCGGAGGCCGGGGATTTCTACGATGATTCGCTGTCCACCGATTCGGCCGGCGTTTCCTTACGAAAAACGCGAACGGTTCCGAGAACACGGCCGAGTCGGAATTAGCGTAACGAGAACGGGAAATCGATCGCAGGTGGTCACGGTCGTCCATTTCCCGAATCGACAAGATGCACCGAGTCGATTCAGACTGATTCGGGGAATCGTTACAATGACCATATTGGATTTCGCTGTGGCTCGCGGCGAAGATAGGCCTGACTGCGACGAGGAGTTAGCGTAATCTTTAAGTAGATTAAGAACATTTTTTATGGGAGGGAAGACGTGTTCGTCGACGACGGTTTGCGTGTCGGGATCTCGAAGGTGCGAGAACGCATGTGTGGCTCTGTGTGTGTGTGTGTCTTTTAACGTTTTAGCACAATTTCACGCGGACGCTTAGGCGAACCGGTGTTTCGGTTTCGCGAACGCACACGACCCGTACGTTTCCCGCAAATTTTGTTACGGAACTCGGCGATACGGTCTGTCTCTCGGCGGGCAGGCAACGTGTCCGGGGCACATCCTACGTAGATTTTTGGCGAACAAGCGTGCACGAATTTGTAAACGCACGACGCGAGTCGGCCGAGGACGAACCGTCCGCGACTCGGCCCACGATCGGCCAGGTGAATTTTAGCAGGGTTTATACGGAACTTTCGAAACAGTAGCACGTAAGACGGAAGGATCTAGAGAATGAATATTACTAATTAAACGCCATAGAGGGTGTCCAGTCGCGACTTGGCCCTTGAGAATTGAGATTATTTGTATCTTATGCGGCATCAATTTAGACACCGTGACCGGCGATCGGGCGCCGGAGTGACATAGGACAGAAAACGAAAAGAAGGGGGAAAAAAACAGTAGAGAGACGTATATTATAATAATCTAGTGGAATATAACATATATGCCGGGGACCGCGCCGTCGTTCTCAAGCAAATATGAAATGAATACTTGTTCAGGTTAATATTCGAGTGTTGAATAATCCATAGCGAGGCGGTGAATCGACTATTATTATTAAGGGAAAACTGACGTTACTTTTATCGGAAAGCGATATTGAATGTTGTACGAAACTATCGATTTTACGGACATTAACATAAAACGTTTCAAATTTATCGAACGGATAATTAAGAATGTTTCCTTTTGCGTTGATTCGTTGACACTTTCCGTAGTATTGTACACAAAAATTGTACTCCGTTGTTTTCGACCGAATTAAATATATTTTGTTGAATCGAAAGGTAAGTTATCCAGATTTTCTCAGTCGGCCGATTTTGTAATTGTAATACGTAGTATTCACTGTTTGACTTTTGAACGCGAAGAGCGTGTTACTTGTTGTCACCGGATCGTTTCGTTCTAGTGAATTGATTGATTAATAATATATATATATATTATGATATAATATAATATATATATAATATATAATATATATTATATAATAATATATATAAATTATGATATAATATATATATATATATATTAATAATATATATAAATTATGATATAATATATATATATATTAATAATATATATAATATGATAAAAGATTTATGAAATTTTATGATGAGTAAAGTAACGAATGATTCGCCAGTTTATCCGGATTCGTTTGAATTTCCAATTGCGTCAGCGAGAAATTATTGTCGAAATAAAAGTTTGATTCTTTATAACATAGGCTGTAAACTGTTTTATCCAGCTTCGTTGGTCCTCACAAAATCCTTGCATTCTGTTACACTTTTCCTTCCCCAGATTTAAATATGTAATCTAGTATCGCAAAGATATATTTCATGCACATATTAAAGTTTTTTTTTGAAGGATTATCCCATTTCATCTTCCTGAAAAAAGCCTAATTTGGGTGAACAACTAAAGTCTCAAAATTAATGTTATTAGATTAAAAGTGATAGTATTGATGCTGTACGTCGATTTGTCTACGATGCAGTAGATTCTCCTGGACAATTCTGGGTCCTTGATTTACTTTTTGGTAGCTTAATTTTGCCACGATTAATATTTTTAAATTATTATTTATGATATATAAATGATATATTATATATAAAATTATTATTTATAATATATAAATGATATATTATATATTTATGATATATGATATGTAAAATTATTATTTATGATATGTAAATGATATATTATATATTTATGATATATGATATATATAATTATTATTTATGATATATAAATGATATATTATATATTTATGATATATGATATATATAATTATTATTTATGATATATAAATGATATATTATATATTTATGATATATGATATATATAATTATTATTTATGATATATAAATGATATATTATATATTTATGATATATGATATATATAATTATTATTTATGATATATAAATGATATATTATATATTTATGATATATGATATATATAATTATTATTTATGATATATAAATGATATATTATATATTTATGATATATGATATATATAATTATTATTTATTATTTGCAATTATTGTGCATATGTGAGCGATTGTGACGCCTCTTGTGTAGCAAAAGTGAAGCTTGTTTCGGCGTTTGTACAGCGTTTGTTTATAACCTACAGTCAAAATCGACTGTAGGTTATTCGGCTAACAGTTTCACCGTTTTGCCACTACGTCTAATGGCGCTATTTTAATATTTTCAGCAGCAGATGATTCTTGCCGAATTATACATTGGATCATATAGGGAAAGTGGCAAGAATCATCTGTACTCGATATTTTCAATACTAAATCAATCTTTTTTGCGTGATAAAGGTGCATAATAGTTTCATAACCTCTCATGTATTGTCATTATATTTCTGTAGCTCCTATTTCGACGAATTTCATAACATTTTCCACACACGTATTCCTTTTATTTTCTCGATCAGAGTGAGACCGCAAACACGGTAAAGTGCGATAAACTACATTAGCGTCGGTGTGATTCGTGTCGCATGGAGTTGGCTAATATCATGCTGTCTTGCTAACTCGCTATTTACTCTCTTTATCATTGACTATGAGGGCAGCACTGTTCAGCTATGAATCGTCAGCCAATCAGAACACAACAATTCGTTGCATTCTCTCAATTCAAGAATCTCGTTGCCCCCCTCCGGATATTGTTCTTGAATTGAGAGATTACTATTCATGTAATGAACAGAAGTAAGTAAACAACGTGCTTCTGAGTAACAAATTAACAGGTGGTAATTATCTTTACAATCAACATGATATCAAACGAGATGGAAGTGGACGAAGAAAATGAAACGAAACCGCTGAACTTCCACGAGTTAGAACTGGACGATAGAATACTGAAGGTACTGATCTGTATTTTTAAATTTAGAGGTTATTTTAGAAAGAATGATATTTTATTACACTTTATAATGGATATATTCGTTTTAGGCTGTCGCAAAACTAGGTTGGTTGCAGCCTACATTGATACAAGAAAAAGCGATACCGTTAATGTTAGATGGAAAGGATATTTTGATCAGAGCGCGTACAGGATCTGGAAAAACAGCTGCATTTACTATACCACTCATCCAGAAAATTTTAATGAACAAGCGCTCGCAGAAAAAGCAAGAAATTAAAGGTCTTATCATAGCACCTAGCAAGGAACTGTGTAAACAGATACGCGATGTAGTGATCAATTTAACTATAAAATGTAGTAGAGAAGTAATAGTAGTTGATGTTAGTCCACAAGTAGATCTGAGTGCTCAGAAAATGTTGCTAACAGAGAAACCTGATATTGTTATTGGTACTCCAAGCAGAATATTACAACACTTAAAAGCAGATAACATGAAATTGAAGCGTACTTTGGAGACATTAGTAATTGACGAAGCTGACTTGGTAGGTGATTTGAACACCCGCAAGGAATTGAAGAATAATAACACAGTCTTAATATTTCAGATATTTTCTTTTGGATACGAGGATGAAATAAAAAGTTTATTGAATTATTTGCCTACTGTGTATCAAGCAGCATTAGCTTCTGCAACTTTGTCAGAAGATGTTATCACTTTAAAAAAATTGGTTCTTCATAATCCAGCTACTCTAAAACTAGAGGAGCCTCCATTAGCTCCATTATCTCAATTATCACATTATAGTCTTGCTGCAGAGGAAAATGATAAATCTGCTATTTTATATGCTCTGTTGAAGCTAAAGTTAATTCGGTAAATAATGTGCTTAAAATAATTATATTTCAAATTTAATTCATAAAACTTTTTTTTACAGGGGGAAAACTATTATCTTTGTGAATACAGTGGATCGTTGTTATAAATTAAAATTATTTTTGGAACAGTTTGGTATACCTACCTGTGTCTTAAATTCTGAATTGCCCGCAGTTTCACGATGTAGAGCTGTTACTCAATTTAATTCTGGAACATACGATATCATAATCGCATCGGATGAAAAATCATTGGAAGAAGTAAATTTTAAATCATTTAATTGTATAATATTGCATACCAATTGCAAATGTGTAATTTTTATTTGTTGTAGCCTCATGTAGTGAAAGTTAAAAAGAGTAAACGAAAAAAGGACAAAGAATCTGGCGTAGCACGCGGCATAGATTTTCAGTTTGTCTCTAACGTAATTAATTTTGACTTTCCCTTGGATATAAACTCTTACATTCATAGAGCTGGCCGAACTGCACGCGGAAATAATCATGGAACTGCTTTGAGTTTTGTGTCGATAAGAGAAAGGCCACGTCTTGAACAACTTGAGGAAGAATTAAAACATTGTTACAATCGTGATTCATTATTCAAAACATATGTGTTCAAGCTAGAGGAAGTAGAAGGTTTCAGGTACATAAAATTATCACACTCTCTACATTTAATAGTGGTGAAACTTGAAACTAATTTTAGTTCAGTTACTGTGAAATTAGTAAAGAAAATAATAATATAAAATAAGATAAAAATTCGAAATAAATCATAAATTCATGTTGGTACTTATATCTTTTTAGATATCGAGCAAAAGATGCTTGGAAAGCGGTAACAAGAATAGCTGTACGTGAGGCTCGTTTAAAAGAAATAAAACAAGAAGTTCTGAACTGTCAGAAATTGAAAAGCTATTTTGAGGATAACCCAAGAGATTTACAGTCTTTGAGACAAGATAAAGCATTACACACTGTAAGAATACAGCAGCATTTGAAGGATGTACCCGATTACATAGTTCCACCTACTTTAAAAAGATTAATGGGCGTCGGTAAAAGAAAAAGATTTAACAGAGAAGCTGCTGCATCAAGATCTACCGCCACACAGTTAAAATACAAAGCGCGAGCGTCGAATCCACTAATCAGTTTACGAATACGAAAATAAAAGATTAAGTTTGTAACAACAACATACCCTTTTTTAAACTTGTTTATTCGTTTTCGTTCAGTATAAATAACACTCTATTAGAACATATAACTTCATGGTTGCAAATTGTACAAAACTGTAGGTGAAAAATTACAGACTATTCAAGTATTTATTTTTTAACATATAATATAGGAGTATCGTAATTATTAAAACCTATGACTTCTCTGTAATTTGTTTAGGCTTGTATTTTTTCCTGATACCATCATTGTGTCCTTCTCTGTTTCTGGCAAGTTCAATAGCATAGAATTGTATTCTAGTTGTGAGTATACTATTTGCTTCTGAGTAATCACCTTCACAATCTGCCCTCAGCAATGTACCAAAACTGTAATCATCCACAAGCCCTTTGAACTGTTCACAAAATGGTCTCCATCCAGTTTTTGCATCTTCTGACTTTAATTCATCCTCATCTAATTTGTCTACTTTCAGATTGGGATAAGTATCTCGAAAGGTTTTATATATTTGGTCGTCATGGGGAGTAAGTTTTAGAAGCTTAGGATCAACTGAACATAAAATCTAAAATAGAATAAAATACAACATTAACATCTTATAATTTGCCTCATTGAAAAATATAAATGTATTTACATTAAAATAAACCTCAGCATGCTCCATTGCTTTTATTGCCCACATAGTTTCCACAGAAGGCTAAAAGAACATGTATATATAATTTACTTATAATAATAATTTTAATCATCTAATACCATTTAAAAACAACTTACATCATTGCCAAATTCCTCCGCGGGTCTAGACAGCACACTAGAACTAGCTATCAGTTGATCTGCAGTCTTGAAATTAAATTATTTAATAATTATGAATTCTATCGTGAAAAACGGAACTAAAGTATTAAATGTGTTAGGCATTATTTACAAGAGAAAGGACGGAGTAGGTTAAGGATCATGTTTGTACGAAAAAAACGCTTGAAATGAGCACACGTTAATTATACTTACAACATCTCCAATAAACGCCATTTCTCTAGTATCTAAAAACGAACTATTGCAGAAAAATTATCAAATATTTCCTAAAATATTTGTAATGTTATTCTGTAGTGATGATAGAGAATCGAAGATAATATGTAATGCACATATGTATTAGGCTATCTGAAACACACGTGCAATGAGAATGAGGAAAGTGACACCACGGACGGAGCGGAACCAATCATTGTTCCGGTTTAACAGCTGCTTCTATCGTATACACATCGTACTGAGTACGATATCAATGATACCATTAGAATAGTTTTTTTTATAATTCTTTCGTGTTGTTTCCTTCAAGGACATATTAAAAAATATTCTCGACAAAAATGGTTGACGTAAAGAATGAAGATATTCACGAAAGCGTAGTAAAACTAATAGACGATATCCACTATGGGTAAGAATTCAAGTATGTCTAACCTTGTGTGAAGTCAATTTTTCAAATATTTTGTATTCCAGTGACATCAAGGGCACATATAATATCGTGGTGGCAACTATGTCGGTTTTAAAAGAAATTATAAACAATTCTGAGTGGACTACTGCAAAGTATAATTTTTTTTTTTAAATATATATGAAATTTTGTATATACCTAAGCAACATTCAGTGAAGTGACAAGTACAATAGTCAATGTTGTCAAGTATAAGTATAATAGCGAAACCAAAGGTTTTGCTTTATATAATTAAATAATATTGCACTTCATTCATATATCCTTAGGTTCATACAATGCTTCCAAGCTGACAAAGTATAATTTATTACATAATACAAGTTATTTTAATTGTGTATCTATATTTTATCAGGAATCTTATGGACGTAATAAGACTTAATGGAAAATACTTAGTAGAATCAATTCCTCTTGAATCCTGTATTGGAAACATGGTCAGGAGGATATTAAAAATAATTCGAGAGGAATATACTTCGGGACTGCAAAATAAAATAGAGGAAACAGATCCACAAGAGTCTTTGCATAAAATTCTCACTGCAGAGAGTGATCAACATGTTGATTTTAAAGAATCTGTGCCTTCTTTGAAATTAGCTCTTATGGATCACATTAATGAATTTGAAGTTGAATTAGAGACATGGTAAATTATAACAGCTTAATTACAGTTAATTCTCTTCCTTAACACATTTTTTCTTTTTCAGTGCTGAAAATATTACAAGTTTAGCTCCTGAACACATTCATTCTAATGAAATTATTATGACAATTGGTAAATCCAATTTAGTAGAAGAATTTTTTAAGAAGGCTGCTGCGACAAGAGCATTTGAAGTTATAGTAGCTGAAGGTGGACCATCTTTGGATGTGAGTATATTTTAGAAGGCTTATTGATCAGTCTTTAATAATACAGCTATAAGGTTCATTGTTATTTATAGGGTCATGAAATGGCAGTCAATCTTGCGAAAGCAAAAATTAAGACTACATTAATATCGGACGTAGCAATTTTTGCAATGATGTCACGTGTAAATAAAGTAATAATTGGTACACACACAGTTATGGCAAATGGAGGGCTGAGAGCAATTTCTGGCTCGCACACTGTTGCTCAGGCTGCAAAACATTATTCTGTTCCAGTAATGGTGTTATTGCCACTGTATAAATTGTGTCCATTATATCTCTGTTCTCACGAACAGGATGGGTTTAATAAACATGTTTCTCCAATGAAAGGTGTAATCAATGGTGCCAATGCGCAATTACTAGAGAGGATTCACATATACAATCCAGTTTTTGATTATGTACCACCAGAGTTGGTCACATTATTTATTTCGAATACGTAAGACCAATTAACTTATTAATGTATGTGTCTTCTATAACAGAGTTTATTTATTATTGTCTTTATATTTCAGGGGTGGAAATGCACCATCATATGTCTATAGATTACTTAGTGAATTGTACCATCCAGATGATTATGATTTATAACATATTCACATGTTTGTGTACAATATTTCACCATAAACAACGCACATTGTTTTTAAAGAAGAGAATCTTTTTACGTGAAGTGGTACAATAAAAATAATTAATCCGAGAATGTTTTTTTAAGTAACAGAAATCTATTTACAAGATAACATATGTACAAGTAGATATAAATTTATTTTACAAAATGCATTTTAGTAACTATACAGATTTAAAAATATCGAATAACAATATAAAAAGACTTGTTCTCTTTATGCATAAGGATTCCAATTACTACCATCCTCGGGTTGTAAGGAATCTGTTACTAACAATACTACATCGAATATCCACCATACTCCTGCTGCACCGAATGAAAACAATTTTCCTAGGGCAGGGCCATTTTGACCTAAATGGAACCTATCCACACCTAAGAAACCTAACAGTATGCTACAAAGTAGAGTAGTAACAAAATAATGATCACTATATTTTATACAAGGAACTCCTTCATGGAAGAATGTTCTTGGTCCGTAACATTCGATATCTGGTAATACTGTGCAAGATACTTTTGTCTTTTCAACATCCTCGTACCTAGAGCCACCAAACTACACAACCAATAAACAAGAATTAATACATTAAATTATTTATAAATATGAAAATATGATCCGTAATTATAACTACCTTCACGCATCCGAATCCAGTTTCTTCCTTGGCAGTTTTATTGCCTTTGTGATCGACCGGTTCCTCGCATTCTATGAACTCCTTCGGTCTACGATAACATTCAAAAATACGTTTTGATAAAGAGTTCTCAAAGGTAAACAAGACCGACGGGAAACGTCAAATATGCATTTTTACTTACAAAAATTTACAAAGTACCAGTGGTCCTTCAGGTCTATATTCCTGCGGGAAGTCGGCAGTTTTATTTGTCGGCGTGCTTTCCGAACACATTCGCAAATCACAGAGGCAAACAATAATTATGATCAAAAACAGTAACCTCATCTTGTCAACTTCGGCATCTGGGTAGCTAGGAGCACCCTATATATTTTTCATTCTGAATCGACGCCATCTGTACTTAGATCTAATCATTAACACGACCCGTGCACACCATACGGTGGAATCTGGCACTAATGTTCTAATTGGTACCAAAATCATCCACGCCGTGTGCTTAAGTCAGTTCAGGGGTGCTTCTAACCACCCTGTTCGCCATTTTTAAATTCACTTTCGTCAGCGGACTTATTAAAACCAGATACACACAGGCTACCAAATGCTTGTGTTCTATCCACCATACCTGTATGCGCGCGATCATAAACCATGCTTGTGTAAAGGAGTTTTTTTATTGGGTACAGAAACTGGTGTCTTTAATGTAACAGGCCAATGAGGAGCCAGAACGGACAAAACCGTCCAATAACAGAACGATTTCTCGCGTTTCCTAAAACGATTTCAGAGACGCGCTGTGATTTCGGAATCAGTTGGTCGTCCGCTCTGAAAGAATTTTAGTTTTGTCAAGGATCGGGGACGTGCGCTTTAATCGGTGGAAGGTGCAAGGTAGTGACTGACTGTAAACAAAGTGATCGTGCACTGCGTATCCCGTAGGATCTTTCGCTCGGTAGATCATCGCAGGTGTGAAAGTTTCTCTACATGTACGGAAACATGCGGGAACGAGAGGAATTTTGCCGAAGTTTTCCGCCAGGATTGCCAGCCCAGCCGCCGACGACACGGGCTCCGGGCCTTGACGCTTTGCACAGTCTTTGTAAAGAGATCTATCCAGACCAAAGTAATCCACTCACTGTTACCGCAGTCGTTAAATACTGGTACGAATTCCTTGATTTATTCTTACGACCTCGAGCATTCACCACATACCGATGCATTTAAAGAGCAAAGAAAACAGAAGAGTATGCTTGACGTTTAGCACATGACCCTGGAGAAACAATGACCACATTATTTTGTCACTGCAACACGAATGCATGCGAGTCGTACCCCTTAGAATTATAAGTTATTGGATATCTTAATCATGTGATCGAGGGTTGTTATTTTTATATTCTCGTGTGTAACAATTCTATCAAATTTGCAGCAAAAATATTGTTTACGATATCGTTTATTTATTTTTTGATCTTCCAACCGAGGAAGAAAAAAGGTGTTCTATCCACTCATTTATGTCGAAATTAATATTACTTAACATGGAATTATCCCTTTCAGTAAATAATACAAGATTATTGACAAAACCTTTTCACTTTCGATCCGAAAATCGGACGTGATGAAGAATATATTTCTTCGTTCTTCAATATTTCACAATTAGCGCGGAAACCGAAGAAAATTCATTTTATTAAATTAAATGTATGCATGATGTTTGAGTGTGAAACTGTTGCACATGAAGGGAGGCGTCTTATATTTAGTCCCACGTACGTTTAACCGGATGTAAAATCAAATAACTAAGATTTTCTGTGCACCTTTGCGTAGGTTGGGTGGTCCGGATCCTCTCGACTACATAAGCATGTACGAGAATCCTGGCTGTCCTGAATTAGGCGTGCCACCACATTGGCATTACATCAGGTGAGTGAAATTTTCATCTATCGCACTAAAACATTTAAATAATCTGGTACTTCCGGTTTGTTTTCTTCGTTCTTGGAAAATTTCGATCTATTTCAACGTAATTTCCGGAATTCGCGATTTAACATCGTTTGTATTATAGTTTCTATGCATTTCCTCTTCCACTTGTTTAATCATTTTTTTCTTTATTGATGACTCTATCGCTCACGATTGTGCGATTTTTAAGTTGACGACGTTGTCGATCGTTCATTCAGGAAAGATGGGACCCGTATTTTTTTTTTGTTCTTCTTTTTGGTTCGTGGCATAGAAAGAGGGAAGAATGTGAGAGTAAAGAAAAAAACGGGAAGTCGGGTATTCGTCAGTGTCATCCTGCTGAGTAGCTGGAGTGTGCCTCTGTTTGATGTGGACGCATGTTATTCTTCCTGCACACCCCTCGATGACACGTATATACCGTGTCCACCATAATTAGAAAAAGACGATGAAGTTGAATAAACTGTACCGGGTTTTCGAATTCTATCAGCTCAGAGAATCCTAATGTCCAGAGAAAAGATGATTTAACAATCATTGAAAAATTATTAACTTTTAGTTTTTTAGGAGAACCTCCATATAGGGGTTCTTTTCTTTCTTTCATTCACACGAAACTTAATTTTTTTTACTAAATTCAAAACAAAAAATTGATGATTGCAACGATTTCCTTTGTTCTCCAGTTTTTAATTTCTCCTAAATTTAAATTCACGATTACGAGATACCGATGACTCATACAGTCGAAAGACAAATGATTTCTCGTTTCAGGAATTCCTTATTAAAGCTTAAGCGCCGAATGACGAATGGTCTGCCGCGAAAGGGTGTTCCTCTTCCTTTTTTTTTTCTTGATGCATGACCCTTCCTTCTTCAGCTTGCAGCAGCTGTTTCAATAGTTCCCTTTTTCTCTATATATAGAAAGTGTAGGGTACAGGAAGATAAAGTCGTTTAAAATGCGACGCGCCGGAAATAGACGAACGGGACTTCCCCTTTTCCGTCTGCTCTATCTAAATATGTTCGGCCATTGACTAAATCTAGTCGATTTTTTTTGAATCAAGTCTGGAGTTATATTTGTCTTAATGAATCCTTAATGCTTTCCCTTTAATTCTTTTTCTTTTCTGGATGATGATCTTAAAATACTAACGAGTATTTTTGTTTGTTAAAGTTTGGGCTTATCAGATTTACATGGAGATGGAAGGATACATCCAAAAAGTGGTCCAGGACGTCCCAGTGGATTCGGATTTGAGTTGACCTTCAGATTGGTCAGAGAAAGAAACGAGATGACTCCTCCTACTTGGCCAGCGAACGTGATGCAGCAGTTAGCAAAATATGTTTTTAATTCTGGGAACATGTTGATGCCTGGTGATCATGTATCATGGCATGCTCCTCTCGATAATGGCAATGGTCGTATTACACAGATCTTGATGGGCAGGGATCCTCAATTACCAACATCTATATATACACCTCATGGCGATGTAAGTCAGCTTACTTAATTAAAATCGTTTATTTCATTAACTGTTTGTGTATTATGGTTTTGATGGTTGATGCGTAATGTTACAGGTTTCATTTGTTCAAATTATAGGCGTAACATCTGAAGAATTACAGGCTGCACAACACTGGAATGGCTTAGGTCTTGTGAGTTTATTAAAAACTAGTCATGTTTGTGGACCTTGGTTGGTAACAGATATGAGAAGGACACGTTCCATTATGGAGGATGAACCCTCCATAGCAGAAAAGATACAAAGTGGAATAGAAAAAGAGGGGTCTAACCTGAGCGGTGTGTCTGCAAAGTGTTGGCAAGTGTTGCAAATTAATTACTTCAAGATTGAAACGATAATCGCTTGCAGTAGTACAGTGTTCGATTACTTTACAGGTGGGTTCAAGTAAACTATGACAGAAGTTCAGAAAGATATAGAGAGAAAAGGAACGAATCGGATGAAGAAGAAGACGAAGAAGAAGATATAAAACCAGTTATAAAATCAGAAAGATTATCTCCGTGTGAACTGGATTCGAGTTTATTACACGATAACTTTGTTAAAGTATTACCAGGCCTCCATTTAACCTTCAACCTTGAAGCAGGATCCTTGTTACCATTAGCAATAAAGTATGCGAAATTACTAAAATACTGTTATTAAAATGAAGTCTCTTCGAAATCATTATATATTGAATATCATTTATTTTATAGGGGACGCGTCATGCACGGAAGGCATTTTACATTTAAGTCTATACTGTCCAATACAGCTGTTACTATAGTAGCACCGACAGTCACTGGAACCCTTGTTTCTAGAGAAAAACCATATGTAGTTCAAGGACCATGGTTACAAGTTCTGCTTCCAGAGGATCTATCAGAAAAGATGGCTCAAGAATTTCAAATTTTAAATTCGCCAAATGAAGTAAGAGCTACAACCGAACTTACATTATGAGATGCATCAATGTTTCTATAATTACGAATTTAATATTAATGAATGTTATAGGTCCAATTGCCAAAGACGTTTTCCTGGCCCGAACACAAACTCGTTATTACTGTTATCAACGATTGAGAATGCGTTCGTTGAACACGTTCGACCAAGTTAGCATAATCAGTTAACATAAGCAAAGTATTATCTGATTCAGTTAAAAAGTGGGTTTCTCAGAACTTATTTATAACTGTATAAAACTCGATTTAAACTACGGAACTATTAAGACTACGCATATCAATGTGTGAAAGAGGAGCCGAATAATATTTATAGTTATTTACCCAGAAAATTTATTTTACGTGTTCCGCCGGGAAACAGTTTTCTGCGCCCCTCTTTTCCAGGTTGATGTCTGTTAAACGATTTATATTTAATTCTGTACATAATAGAAGAACAAGTTAAAACGTGTAATTGTATTTGATATACGAGTTTACACATTGTTACAGCTAATGAACAGTTTTTGTATATAGTGAAGACAAACATTCTGACATGACTGTTGTCAGTGCCTTGAACCAATTTTTATAAAAGTAATGTGTAATGGAATAAAGCATAGGGTGTAGTATTTATAAGCAAATTATACAGTTTATTTCTTATATATTTATCACAAATCGTTTGCCCGATCATCCTTGCCGCGCGGAAATTTATTCCTCGGATCTGTGAAACAAAAGGTCTGTTTAAACGTTTCATTACCAGCGTCCGATTATTCGAACAATTATTTCCAAAATTTTTACTTGTTACAGGCTTTCAATCCTGCAAATTCCCTTTCGTAGAATCTGTTCGGAATCGTTTATCATTTCGTCGGGCGGCCCTTTTCCCCGTTTTTCTTCTCGCAGGACAGGCGCACTCACCCTCTTTTTCAACCGCTAGCTTATTGTTTGTGTTCGGCAAGTGGGCTCGATAAAAGAAACGGTAAAGGTTGGCTCGAGCGTTCTGAGAGATACATAGATATGACATTGACACTTTCATACCAATAAGCAATATGTATTCCGTTTAGTATTAAAACCGTCGCAGCGAAGAGCGGACGTTTATCAACAGAGACGGACCGCTATTCGTTTCTCAACCGTGTTATCAAGTACCTAACAAAATACATAAATTGCGTGCATCTCGTATCGGTTATTTAAAGTGTAGCAGTGCTAATTGTACAATAGATGAACGTGATGACAAAAACTTGTAGAAGGCGCCACCCGTTGATATCAGGTACGTTCACGTTAATAATATTATACAAACCGTTACACAATTTGAAAGTATTGGAAATATCACAAACATTGAAATCATTCAGATGTATTTATGGAAAATTATTTAATTTCGTTTATTCAAGAACGTTTTTAAAAATGTTCATAAATAGCACTTGTTTTCCGAATGAATGAATATATGAAACTATAATTTCCTATTTACAATAAAAAATACTTCTGTATGAAAATTTGTCAAAAAATGAAGGGAAACGGCATGCTTAATTAGAAGAAAGGGAAGACAACGTTGAATTGAAATTGCACAGCTATTTTGTGAACCTTCATCCCCTTCAGGCGATAATTCACCAATTTTCCGTTTCGAATACCGTCAACTCTTGATTTCTCTCTGATTGAATAAAACATAATTAGTCGAATTCCAGCGTAAAACAAAAACGAGTATAAATTAGTGTACGGTCTTTTGTGCAACTATTCTTCAGTGGGTGGAAAAATCGTAGAATGCTCATAAAATCGTTTGGACCGTGGATCTTTATGCAAAATTCCTATTTTCCTAGATTGTCTGAATTGTTCGGATTTGAAGATTTCGAGCTGTAAAAAATAAAATCCAACGAGATCGTACTTGAGTGATCAGGGTCTTGAGGATCCTGAAGAAACCGATCCACAGTAAAACAACGATGCAAGCCGAGGCAAAGTCCTCGACTTCCTCGCAGGTGATGTTCCTGACAACGTTAACGATCCCCCGGAAAATGTTCGCGAACGTTTGCATGGCCTCGATACAGAGGTCCCTTAGGAAGCAAATCGTCTGGAAAATCAGGTTCATCACCGCTAGTGTCAGCTCGATTAACCTCGCCAGGAAGTCGAACAAGATGTCCATTAACTTGTCGAGAGTCTCCCAGAGCCAGCAGACAACGCGCGACAAAAATTCGACGCACTGTTGCGTGGCGTCCATCACGCGGTTGTTCATGGTCCACGATTTCCCCGTGGTTCCTGCTCCCTTCGCATAATTTCCCCCTGATTTTCCCGTCGCGCGCAAATTACATCGAAGCTACGAGAGCGACGAAATGCGAATTACGAGACATTAAGGGGAGAAGATTGTCGCGAACCTTTGCTCTTGCGTTTCATTTCTTTTCCGCGCGGCGTGAACCAAGTCGCCGATTAGGATCGCCTTCGGACGCGTGAACCTTGAATCGTGGTTGTCAATCGTGGTCTTGCGAGACGATTGTTTAGTCTGCAAAGAGAAGATTTATGGTGGGAGCTCTCGATCATATTTCTTCGCGGCAATAAAAACTTCATAATTGCTTCGATAACGAGTCTTCATGTTAATTCAGCTCACTCGTTCAAATGTGCGGCACCGTTGAAGTTTTATTCGCGGGAGGACTGTGAATCTCGTTTTTGTTCGTGACCAGTTTCGATCGAGAATGTTTGGCGAACTGTGTTTTCTACTCGTTCTACGAGATACGATGGGACGAAGTAAACATTTGTTTTTTTGTTAAAAATATTCCACGGCGCTCTAATGGAATTCAAGTAGGTACACTCCTATAGTTTCGATACTTCTGGCCACGGTCGCTTGAAATGTAGTAATTGATAACAAAGTGATCGTATCTTCGTCACATTTTAGTTCTCTGTATTTTTCTTTTTTCTTTCTTTTTTCGACGTCTCTCTACAGGGCGATTCTTGAAACTGGGTCGAGCTGTAGGTTCTTTCTACGTGGAGGTGGAGGGAACGGTCGAGTGGTTTAATGAGGACTGCTTTCCTTTTATATAATTAATTTTTTCGAGTGGCACGATGCAGGTGCAATAGGTGTTACATTTCTTTTTTTATTTCGATCGAGAGATAACTTTTTAATCATTTTCTTTCTCGTTGTTCCGTTTCCGTCATAATACAAATGGGACTTGATCGCCCCTTCGTAAAAATTAATTATGCAGCTTTTTACGTGTCTCATAATATTAAGTTATCGCTTAATCGATATTCGCGAGAATACAGGGTACTATATGGAAAGTTTCGGATGGTCTTAAATTAAAATTTGATTTATTTAATATCTTATACAGTCTGCTGTCGTTTCTCGTTAATATATATATTTATATATATATATATATCTCACTGTTGTCAAGCGATGACTATTATATAATATATATGTATATTCTATTCTTCATACCCTTTACGATATCTGATCGATTTAAATTAATGGTTATGTTTTGTATATAAGTACTCGTAATAATCATGGCAGTTCTTTCGTCGTTCCTATTTGCAAACTATCTAGCAGTATCAAATAGTGAGTTCGTCTTGAATATTATTCGACTATGTAGTATGTCCGATACGAGTATGTGTATGTATATGTATATGGACTCATTCTAGCAAGTGATCCATATTTAAACAAATATTAATGAACGATGTCGGGCGTGTGTTTGCTGCAGCGTTTGATAATGCACTTCGCTGAATCATCTAAACGGTTTTTTACGTAGAATAAATCTAATAAAATTCTTCAAATAAAACAATTTATAAATATAACTTCTCAAAAACTTTAAACTCTGTACAATTCGGGCACGAGTGTTCTCCCTTCAAAAACCACCCGAACACAGCGAAATCAAACATACTTCATATCCGGACTTCGTATTGTACTAATTAGTCTAATCGTAAATAGTTCTCTGATAATTGATGTTAGTATCGTTATCTTATCGATGATATTACTTTTTGCTCATCGTTGGTCCACAGCTAATTGGTCGTATCCATAGTTTTAAGTTCGAAGTGGTCCGTTATGCGTATGTTCCGATAAAAGGCTCTCTCTTTCTTATATACAATAATTGCCTATGATTGTAATCGATACGTGATATGTGGTAAATCATCGTCAGACGAACTCGGCGAAAAGCGACAATATTAGAAGCATGAACGAGGCTGCATGTCGCGTGGATCCGTTGCAAGCGTCCGCATCGTTGCAGGATTGCACGCAACCGCGGACGTATCTGAAAATTGAATTGCAACACCCGGAACAATTAAAAATTCGGCCGCAATGCACCAAATTATTTGCGAAATTGCGCAGTCTGAAATTGAAACGTGCAAATTTTAAATCGATTTAAGAAAGAAAAATCTGAACAGTGTTATACTCGATTTCAATCGAGCATATTACTAATTAGCTCGTTTGATTAATGGAATAATTTCATTGGGGTGTGATCTTGCATTATTAATTTCCTTGAGAATATTCATCGAATAATGTTTGTACGTTCTGCAACGCTGCACGACTATTCCGCGTTCTCATCTCGTTGCCTCTTCAGCAACGGGCCGCGGCCTTTCAATTCCAGATTGTCAAACTTTCCGCGCTTTTGCACAATCGTCTACAGTCTACAACCAAGTAAGCAAAACTCGATTCCCGCTTAAAACTCACTTGTCGTCGAAGTAGAACCCTCCGCAATGCGACATTCTTATAATTTCCGAATCGGTCGTCAAAGATCCGCTGTCCAACGCGCAGCTCCTCACCGTCAATGAGATCCCAGACTCATCTAATCGGCCACAAATCATTATTTTTACGTTCATTTAACATCGATCAAACAGTAAACAATCGAATTTCTAGGGAGCAAGATACCGCGAAATTGCTATAAATTACAACGTCTGTAAAAAATATTGGAAAATTTTGCTCATGATTGACACTACGATACGGCTGATAATTCAAGCTTCCTCTTTACATTGAACCCTCAAAATCTGACGTACGATTTTTTTAGCCGCTTTATCGAGCTTCGAACGCAGCGCGAAACCGCCATCTTTACGGTAATGTATACTACGAAACGTGTTCTCCGTTGTTGGTCTATAAAACAGTAAAAAAGAATCGTACGTGAAGTTTTAAGGAGCCGTTGGAAAGGGGAAGCTTTAATCTTCAAATGCGATGATAAATTCAGCCGGAGAAAAATTGCCCAATTTCAGTTTTCCGACATTTTCGACGGAAAAGATTATTTTACCATGAATTCCACGGAGACACGGGGATTCGGCGTGCAAATACTTTCCGGAGCTGCCTTAGTAGTTTTAAACAAAGATAACGCAACAACGTTATTGTTTTCGAGTGAATAAATATGTTTATTAATGCAAATACCTCCCGGAGGCACCGCGGTAATTTGAAACAAAGATAACACGTCGATAACGTTGTTTTCAAATGAATAAAAACGTTCGTTGGCGCGAGCACTTTCTGTGACCGTCATGATAATTTGAACCAAAGATAACACAACAATATTATCGTTTTAAACGGTCGCCGTAGAAATTTGCAACAACGGTGACGCAACGATATCGTTTTCGAAGGGACGCGTACTACGGGTCTTCGCCGTAAATTGCGAGCCGGCTCGTTTCGCAAAGAATAATCCCCGAGGGAAACGCAAATGTTTGCTTCTAATTATTTGCTGTAAATTCGCGATTGCGAGAGAAATAGCCGGCTCATTATTTTGAGCAATTTACCCACCCTCTTGCCGCCGTAAGGTCTTCGACACGGACCGTATTGTGCCGCGAACCATAGTGTATTCAGTGAACACGTAGCGCGAAAAGGGGGTTAAGGACCACTCGCAATCACAAAAGGAGGAAGTTTTACCGTATATGCCTGCTATTTTGATGCACGCGGTCGCAGGGAAGAGACCATCGCGGCCCTTGCGGCCTCCCAGGCATGGCGACTCCAAGAATGCGAGGCTCCCGTTATTGTGGAACGGGTCGTCGCAGGGCTTATTGTCCCCGTCGATTGACACGCACTTGAAACAGTCAATGGCCCAGCCTGCTGCGACAGAGTCAAAGCGCGCAAAGACTAATTATTCTCCAGCAATCCTTACAAACGTTCAGCAAAAACATAGATTTCATTTCACGGCAAGAAACCGAACGCTCACGGATAATCACCGCATAATTTTCCGATTCGCGATATTCGAAATGTTCGAATTTCGGAAAAATTAGTAGGACAATGGTACCTCGATTATCCGGCTGAAACAGAGCGATACAAAATATTCGGGCGACATGTAGCCACTTAGTCACAGCGCCAGATTTCGTCTTTATTGATTTTTGCAGCAAATTGTTATGCACATGAACGGCCACAAAATTAGATGTTTTACATGTGAAACGTACTTGGACAATAGAGACTTCTAACGTTCAAGGACAGGATAATCGAGGTTCCACTGTGCAACAATGAACTGAAAAAAATATAAATCCGACAATAACAGACTTTCTAAATACGATCTGCTAACAACAAATTCTCGCAATCAGCGTTATTTCTGCGATAACATTGAACCAACCGAATCCTAGAAGTAACCGACGTGCGTTACTTCGTAACGATGAGACGACTGTATTCAATGCGTTCGTTTGCGCGTTACTTCAACGATATTCCATGAAAGTGTTTCTATAATTTCACGAGAAACGTGAAATCGATCATTTTCACCGTCTCGGTAGGTGTAGCGTTAACACAATTTCAAACGAACGCAGCACGAAACGAACGAACCTTGTCGTTGTAAGTCGGTCGGCTGTGGAACATCGAGATCAGAATTTGTCCCCGTTGGGATAGTTTGCTAAAACCGTTGGCAATGTCCGCGTGAAAACTGACCTTGCGACACGACGAGTATCAGCCCGAAACAGAGGATCCAAGAGAAGCCGACATCCATCTTTCCCCGGGTCCGATGTAGCCAGGAATCGAGCGCCCTGATCAGCCGTCAGCTGTTGAACCCAGAGTCCTTCGAGTCGCGTTCCTCCAGCGGGCTCATGTCAGGCGAAATGTAAGAACGACGTGTGCCAGTCGCAACGCAGTGTCAACGTGTCCCGGTTGTCAGATCCATTCGGGCGAAGCCAAGAACCGGGGATTGTTCCTCGGCGGCGGCGACGACGACGACGACGACGACGACGACGGCGACGACGACGACGCTGTTCGCGGCGTATCGCATCCGCGACCCAGTGTTTTGCCGGACGGTTACCAAGGCGATGATTCGTGGTCGTTGATTCAGGTCTTCTTTCGGCGGGTGTACGAGGGACTCTGATCAATGATCTCTCTTTCTCCTGGATCGTGCGACCCGGGGCGAAGGGAACCCCGGCAATGCGTGCGGTCTCCCTCGGGCCTGACCCGGGATCTACGCAGGAACATATTGAGGACTAGAAACAGCGCGGAGTTGCGTGATCCCATCCCGCGGAATGAAACGATAAAATGCGAGCGGGGCACACGCGATTTGTGGGCGCAGTGGCGATTTCTAGGCGCGTGCACAGTCGCACCTGGACACTTGCCTACGCCGCGAAGCGTGGGCGTAGCTCGTCGATGGGGGTCTATGGGGCAAAGACAATGAACTGTGGGAGGATCAGCGTGCTCCTCGAATCGTGGAAAATTGTTCTGGTGCGTATTTCGATCGGTGACCTACAGTGGTCGGACCTCGAGAAAAATATTTTGTAAAGTATTGGAAATAGTTAACGAACATACCCTCGTTTGTATGAAATAATATTTCAAGATTTATATTTGATGAGATGCGTATTGAATTGTACATGCGTTGTATCGAAGACAGTTATTTATGTTGTAGCAAAATTATTAATTGAAGCAGTATTTTCTTAAGGTGTACTGGAAATTATTATTTGAAGTAGCGTTTTTTTCATGTGCCTAAATTTCTATTAATTATTTGAAATTCTGTTTTTCACATTTCATATTTACGAGAGGTAGTATGTTTATAGAAAACGTAAACACACGTATTGTTTTGAAAAATAAGCTTTTTCACATAAGAGTTTCTCTGAATTAATTAATGAAATTGAAACGTTGCTTTTAACAATATACGTATCTCAAATAATACAAATTTCAAATGCAAACGCGAACGTCAAGGCAGATTCGCAGTTGCTTGGTCGGCCAAAATCTCGTGGAATATGTTTCATTTCACGCACAATAAAGAAAATATTTAGTTCAATTAAGTATTTCAGATTCATATTGAAAAATGTATATTTTAAATACTTATTTTATTTAGTAGTATTACATTTAATACTTATTTGTAAAATTGTTTAAGTATTTCAACTGGTAATCAAATAATAAGAAATAAATTACTATATGAAATGAATCATATGTTGAGAGAAGTAGTATTTGCAAATATTTTCATTTTTTAGTTGAAATATTTTTACCCTAGTTTGCCTATAGTGGTCTACAAAACTATTCGAACACATTTTAAAACGAAATAACTGTTTTAAAATTGGACAAAATCACTTAAGTCTTTTTTATATGTTAGAGGGATTAGTTTAGTTGGCAATCACTTAATGATAAATTGCAACTTTTTGCGACGCACTAGACTTCTATAATAGTTCTTTCACCACATTTAGAACCGCTGCGAACCTCTAGCAAACAAACGAACTAGATTCAAACGAAGATTTGATCATTGCAGCTGTTAAAAGAATCGCGAAACAATGGGTTGATGGTGGGAACTGTGGACCACCGGCAAATTCTCGAACGTCCGATTTTTAACCGTACAAAGTGTACCCTTCGATGTTGACTAATTTTAAGCTGACAATTAAGCCAGTAATTAAGGCAGCTTGCTGACACCGAATACTCCGCATTCAGAAAAGGTCAATCTAGGTCTCTTCGTCAGCTATTGACATCAAACATTTACAAGCCCGCCTCCCTGGTGGTACTCCAGAACCCGACCGCCTCGATTATTAACAAAGTTGCGAACACCGCCCCTTTCTGAAGCGGATAAGCGAATACTTCGAAATGTTTAATCTTTCACGTGATTTCTTGGAAGAGCAATGGCATGCCGGGTTCGTCTTGACGCATCGTGCTCTAGATTTTCAACTAGGTGGCATGAAAAACGCATTCGTTCCGATCGTAAAGTTTCCGTGTTAGTTATTCCATTGTCGAGAACATTGTGGCTCGATAAAGTCGTTGTATTTTATCCGCGAGGATGGCACGAGCTGGTGAATGCGTTAAGACCATTCCGTTAGTTCTGGTAGAAGCTTTTTAAAAATCAGATTCGCAGGAAGTTGTTCGAACTGGGGTCGAGAAGCTAATTGATAAAAATTAGTGCTTGGAGTAACAGTACGATATAAATTAACTGATGCGAGGATCTGCAAATTAAACTAAAAGCTGGGTTTAAAAGAGCGTCTACTAAAGACTAGAAGATTCGTGTGTGCGCTGTCTTTCAAATTGAAATTACAGGGAGATGAGGGACTGTTCAGATTGGTAAACAGATTATCGTAGGTTACCACTTATGGCAGTTGGATTGTAGATGAACTTTGTGTATATCGAAAGGTGAACTTTGATTTTCTGAAGAGAGGTCGATGACTTCTGGCTCGAGGTTTTTCTTAATGTTTGATATTTTGATTCCTAGCACATTGACCTGGATCGATGACTATAGGCAGATTGTCCCTGAAAATCGTTCGCCTGTGGCACACCTTCAGAATCATTTCTGCGGGGTTCGCTTATAATAAATTCTTCCTAATTTTTCTTCAGCTTGCAAACAAAGTTGAACAATTTCGGAAGAAGAGATACGATTATTCGAGCCTTGCACCTCGTTTTTATAATTGTTGTGAATCGGTGATTATAAAAATGAGTCGCGAGGCTCGAATAATCGTATCTCCTCTTCTCAAATAGTCCATTTCTGTTTACAAGCTGTTGGAAAATTGGGGAGAATTTACTGTACCTCGAAACATTAGCTATCTTAGTGCCTGTAAATCAAATTGGTCTACGCGTGTCAATTAACAGGAATAATTCGCAGTGTTTAATACCGTTTGCAACAATCAAAATCTATTATAAAATATCTTGACTCGGACTATAGACGTCCGCGCAAAGTGGACTCCTTCGTTTCAAAGCTCTCGACCTGTCTCATCTGTATCAGGGCCAACTGGGCTGAGATAATTGTAAGACAGACCCTTCAAGAAGTACACCCTGTTGTAAGCCCTGCAAGCCCTGATCGCTCGAGTGCTGGTTCAGCCACTTTAGACCTGCGCGTTGCCTTTGTCGCCACGCGGCTAGATAGTGTTCCGCAACTTTCTCTATATTTACGTTTCTTAATGATATCGGCCCATTGTTTCGAGCAAGCTGCTAATTTGCCGGCGAATCTACTGACAAGTATTCTGACCAGATTCACGTTTCGTCAGTGTTTGATGACTTTAGGTTATCGTTTGATTTGCATAATTAACAATTAATTGGAGTCGCGTTTAGTACCGAAGATTTTATTCTACGTTCGTTGAAAATACAGGGTTCCCCGGAAAGAATCATTCGATTTCAAAAATTTATATTTTAAAAAATTACACACAGAAAATTATAATTCAAACACGAATATAACGGGAAAATGTGCGAGTTTTACTTTTTATTATTTTTTTCTCATGTACCAAACCGTTGGATTGGTCGCAGTTCATCCGATAATATGGTTCTACACAGTTGGCCTCCGAGATCACCCGACCTAACCCCATGCGACTTCTTCCTTTGGGGATTTGTGAAGGATCTTGTCTTTGTAACACCTTTACCTACAAGTGTAAATGAACTGAAAAAACGCATTTG